AATCAAACTTCCGCCCCGTGACACCTATCCCCTTTTTTTATGCTGATGTACTTTGTGACCAACATAGGGCATTTTATCATAGTTTATTGACACATGTCAGAGGTATCTGGCAGGTTGACAGAAGCGGTAACATTGAGACTTCCTGCATTCTCTCATGTCTGAGTTCACAAATGTTCAGTTGAGACTATTTCCTTGTCTTGCTCCACTGTATAATAGACATCAGTGACAATCATGTGTAGATAAAAATATCTCACACCAGACAAAGGCAGATAGGGTGAGATTTTATTATGCTGCAGACAGGCAAAAACACACTTTCATAGCACAAAACAATAAACCAAGGATAAAATTAACCAAGGGGTGGTGGGGTCAAGGCCCCTTTGATTCAGTTACTGCTGTAAATGGTGATGCAATATGTTTTACACTATATTATCAGCTCATGAGGTATAAACAGCATCAATGCAGCATAAAATACAACATGTTGTACATGCTGTATAATTTATTCAATAGAAATCCAACCAAGTACTACCATGATTGTTGTTTGTGAATATGTTTAACTATTTTCTCTCTTTGTTTGTGGCTTTTTCACAGAAACACTCACGACCAAGTCTGAAGTTTTGTTGGGATTGTGTACTAATGACACATGAATGGTTAATCCAGTACAAAAAGTTAAACCAGTGCCGTGGCATTGTCTTCTCATGTCCTTTCCTGCTTTCATGTGTCACTGAAGGATATTCAGTGTTCAAGACATGTCTGATTTCATCTCTTTTTCCAGGAAAAGATTATTTGGAGATTAATTCTTTGTTTGACAAACATTGTAATTGATGAGAACATTGCACAGGAACAGAGAATATTTTGAGATTTAAGAGGATCTATTGGCAGAAATGGAATATAAGATTCATAGATAGGTTTTCAATAGTGTATAATCACCTGAAAATAAGAATTGTTTTTGTTACTGGTTTGTTTATCCAATCTTAACACACCGAACTGAGATAAACAGAAGACCACTCTTAATTCTGTTGTTATTTTCTGTTTATTTGTTTTTTTAAATAGTATAAATATATTCCTATCATTGAAAATTCTCACTTCAAGGCATATTTATTAGCTTTTCTTGAGATTTCAGTCATATAACATGATCTGCTAATTTATCCGAAATCCGACAACACTAACGACAAGATTTCCTGCGTTCTCCAATGACTGAGTTCAATGTTTACAGCAGGGACTATTTCCTTGTCTTTGTCCATTGCAATCATGTATGAAATGAACACAACGCAAGTTTTAAGCCGACATGGACAAGAAGTTTTTGCAAACTCTCGAAAGATCCGGAACAGCAAATCAGGTTTTTTCAAAGCCTTGTGGGGCACCATGGGGGCCTTGGCTAATTTGAGGGAAGGGAATAAAAACTGAAATTATTATTTTTTTTTAAATGTTAATTATACAGTATATTTTTTAATTATAATTATTTGTTGTTGGGTTTTTTTTTATTTTTTTTTTTACATTTGTTGTAGTATTTTCAATGGGTTTTCAAAGACATCTTGCAAAAGGAGTGCCCTGACAATAAGCTTATACTATTTGGGGCACCATGGAAAAGTTTGGGAATCCCTAGGCTAAATTATGAGAGAGAGAGAGGGTGATGGAGTGTACGTATGTGGGTTACCTTTCCTGTAATCGTAGAGTAAATATGTTGTTGAACTTGTTCATCTGCAAAATTCCCAGAACCATACCGTGTGTTGAGGAAGGCAGGTAAAGATATAAGTACGGTACCAGTGTCACAGTGTCAGCTCATCCTCTGCTCAGGATTGAAGCTGGTTTCAGGAGATCCCGACCGCAGGTGAGTCTGAACATCTGCAGCTGCAGGTTTGGCTGCAGGCACTGTTTATTTCCATTCTAATATTTTTATTATTATTTACTGTTATCATTGACTGCAGGTCAGATTGTTGAGCCACTGCTTCTAATAAACAACTTTCATATTTGTTTCATATATAAAGAAATTCATAGAGCTGTTGATACCATATGATAATATATTTAATAGATTGGTTCCTGATTGCAGTGTTTGTCTCTGGACGCCTTCACACACAAGAATGTTTTCCTACCTGGTCTTTGCTGTGCTCTGCGCCAGCTGCATGGCAAAACGTAAGAGGTTAACCCATCTGTTGAGACCTTTTGACACCAATTTTATTCTTTTTCTACAATATCTTGCTTCTAATAAGATCTTTGTCCATAAATTGTCAAGTTGAGTCAAATAGCACTTCCTCGCATCCTCTTGTCCTTCACATTATAACTCTTTTTCTTCCTCCAGCTACCTTGGTGCACTACTCTTACTCTCGTGCTGTTGGAGTGGTTCAGGCACTTCCTTCTCCACCGAAGGAGAGGGAAGGATCACAGCTGTCAGGGTGTGGGAGATTAGCAACGCGTACATCACTGGGTCAGTCTCTCAACCTTGTTGTCCATAGGTGTTAAAGGGACTTTACAAAAATTAAATGGGGGGGAAAAGGGGATCAAAAAAGTGGGTTATTTATTTTTTGGGAGAGTGGTCTTGAATTTTTTTAACCGCAGGCATGAGTGATTCATTGTTTTTCTTATACCAGATTTATACTTTATGCACTTTTTAGTCACTGACGGTGGTGATAACGGTGTTCAGTCAGTAGCTCTTTGTTCAAAAACGGGCGGCTGCAACATATAAATACACTATCCTATCATTGTTATCTAATATGCAATTTTGTGGATATCGTGAAAATTCTCAATCATTTAACAAGTTTACAATGGTACATCGGGTTAAAAACATAATTCCTGTCTCCCGAGACACCAGCGTTTAGGTTCTCAGTATTGTTTTTCTCACCACACTCACCACGAGCTGAGCGCGCAGTAGTCTCTGCGTTCAGACATATGTGCACAAATACGAAATAGTGGACTTTAAAAGTTGCTATTCTTATCATTCGTTCTACGACTGCTCAGCACTACTTGTACACTAGCTAGACCCAAAGCTGACAATCACTCTCTTCTCTCAGCAAATCGAAGGTCAGAAAATAATCAGCCAGACGCGCCAAGAACCTATCCCTAACTCTCTTCAGTAATCTAAACTCAACCACTCGCCACTCTCCCATTCTCCCATCACATAAGTGCATTTTAACTCACATCGCCCACTCTCTAACTGCCATGGACGACCAGGTCAACTAGGCTAAGCGCCTTTCTCTCTTCAGAGACTTTGACGGCAAGCCGCAAAGAGAGAAATTCAATCTACCACCTGGAGCCACCGAGCCTCTGAGCCAGCCCCGAACCTCATGAGTAACACGCGGCAGGTTGCTTCGCGCTGAAAACTCTCGGTGGAATTTGCGTCATTTTACAGTCACTGTGTCCTTTTTAGATAAGAAAACAAAACACACGCCACTCCGATCCTATTAATCGGGTCATCTTTTCTCCACGCACGGCACAACTAGTAATCCATAAAAGAAAATTAAGGACAGTAAGAGCAACTATCAACGAACATGGTCTTTTACACTCCCCGGCGGACACATCGAATCATCAAGTGCCAGAATTGTGAAACATTCAGTCCGATAAAACCACTTCCGTCGCATCCATACAAACAGTAATACAAGACAACACA